TCATGCTCTCCGCCTGCGTTTTCTCCACTTGCAAGACCCCAGCGGCTCGGCGCCGCCCTCACGCCCTCCTCAGTCTCTCCTGGCTGCCTGTTACCGTCGCGGAGGGCCTCCTTCCCTGGCTGGTTTTCCACACTGCGCCACTCCCCTCTGAGTCCTTCCATCCATCTGCGCTGGGGAATTCTGGGTGAAGTCAAGGTCAACACAGCGGCGCCCCACCTGGCCCCTGCACGGGCGCTCTGAGCTCGTGACAAGTGACCTGCAGCTCCATGCTGCTGTGTCCCCTCATACTCTGGTCAGCTGGCCACTTACGGCCTCACGCAGGTGACCGGGTGACCAGACCTGGGGCAGCCCCTCATCATCAGATAGGCTAGCCCTGGCCTGCTGTCGTGGTGGTCTTGGGTTCCGAAGACAGCTGGACAGAGAGCACGCTGCCGTGCACAAGGAGCGTCTGAGTCCCTGTTGCCATCACCATTATTAGTCTCGTCCCTTTAGCCAAAGCCAGCCACACGGCCAAGACCAGAGTCCATCTGGGAGGGAACCGTACAGGCCATGGACACTCCCCTTTGTTGTTCATTTGTGCACAGAGTTTAGGGACCTCTTCTGTAAGCAAATCACTGGTAGGCAGAAAGGACAGGATTTTTCTCATGCTTGGATTATATGTATGTAGGTATGTAAGTATGTATGTAGGTATATATGTATGTTTGTAGGTATAGCAGAGCTAGATTTATTGATGACACGGCAAGGAAACAGTGGGCAAGCTGGCCAGGGGAAGGCTGATAACTGAATGAATATTCTAAGAGCAGCTCAGAGACCAGCCCTCAGGGCTGGCAATGTGGTGCAGTGGGTTAAGCCACTGCCTGCAGCACTGGCATCCCGTATAGGCACTGGTTCAAGTCCCATCTAATCCACTTCTGATCCAGCTCCTTGTTAATGGCCTGGAAAAAGCAGCAGAGGAGGTCAAGTGCTTGGGCCCTGCCACCCATGTGGGAGACCCGGATGAAGCTCCTGGCTCCTGGCTTCAGCCTGGCCCAGCCCAGAGTGTGCAGCATTTGGGGAGTGAACCAGCAGATGGAAGATCTCTCCCCACCCTTTACCTCTCCCTCCCTCTCTGTAACTCTGCCTTTCAAGTAAATAAATCAATCTTTTTTTAAAAAAAAAAGAGCATCTGGCCCAGGTGAGACAGGGATTCATGGAGTTGCATCAGGTAGGGTGGACCTCAGGAGCCTCTGCATTTCTACAGAAATCCCGATGCTGTCACTCAGGGTTATCTGGGAATAACCAGCCCTCCCCTTCTTAAAAAGACTTATTTATTTGAAAGGCAGAGAGAGAGAAAGAGAAAGAGAGAGAGAGAGAGAGAGAGGTGGCATCTACTGGTTCAGTCCCCAAATGACCACAGTGGCTAGGGCTGGGCCAGGCTGAAGCCACAAGGCAGGACCTTATTCAGGGTCTACCATGTCGGTGACAGGGGTCCAAGCACTAGGGCCGTCTTCTGCTGCCTCCCCAGGTGCATTAGCAGGGAGCTGGATCAGAAGTGGAGCAGCTGTGGCTTGAACCTGTGCCCACATGGGATGGCCAGACATCCTCTTTCCTTTGAGAACACTCAAAAACCAAAACATGAGAACAAAACTTTACTTTCGACGTGTATATTTTTAAAACTGTAATTGAAAAAAATTACCCTATTTCTCTGGCAATCACTAAATTGTGTGATTCCAGCATTCCTGCTCAGTATCTCAATGTCAAGGGTGAGTTCTCGGGCCCAGAGCTTGCCTTATGCATAGGAGTCAACACTCTGACTTCAGATTCACACTTGCAACACTCACACGGCCCAGAAGCCCCGATGGAAGCCCTTTGCAAGGAGCCGGCCCGAGCCTCCCATGAAGTGGATTTATTTTCCTCTGGGGTGAGGACAGACTGCACTGGGAGCCCAGTCTTCCATCAAGGGGGGGTGGGGGTGGGGCACGGAGCTGGGCCTTGCTTTTCTCACAAAAGGGACAATGTGAAGTGCATCTGTGAACATCGCATAATTTGTTATGTCCCACAAAGAGGTGGGTTTTTGTTGCACACACACCAGAGCTATTTGGTGCTGTGTCACCAATGATCTGCATTCAGGTTCAGAAAAGAAATTGGCCTCAGAAGAGTGAAAGCAGAGTAAATTTTTCTTTAAAAATTAGATACAGACGGTCACTTCCAAATGCAGAGGGGGAATTTTACAAGTGCCGGGCTACCGATTAGCTTTCCAGTGGACACCCAGCCCTTTATACAGCACGGACTAGCGGTGGTCAGCTGTGACCAATGTGCTTTATTACTCCCCCGAAGAGCGGCACTGAGAGTGCCCATCTAATTAAACTGAGAAGAGTTGGGTGAACTTGAACTGTTCCAGGGACATGAATGACCAGAGAATTTCTTTGATGAGGCATTAAAGGCTGACTATGCTAACTCTTTGATGGTTTGGTAAAGTCAGTTCTTTCGTTCATTAGCATGTCTTTCAATTTTGTTGCTGTTATTACTTTTTTTTTTTGGTATGTTTGCAACGTGCATGAAAAAAACAAATTAAGTTTCCTTACAGCATCATTACAAACATTTTAGCCATCCTACCTTTCTTGGTAAACGTTCATGACAGCTTTTTGTAGTTCACTCTTTCAAGAGTGACATCACCTTTCAAGTCAAGGCAGTTAACAGTAGTTAAGTTGTGAAAAAAAAAAAAAAAATGAATAGATGCCCTGGCTTTTCATTTGAGACTCCCTAAGTTATTTTTTCAAATGTTGTCTTCTGATTTCAATCATTAAGAAAAAAAAAGTGGGCTCCAAGAGGTTATCACATTTTTCACCAGTCTCCTTAGCATTTCGTTGTAACCTGGGCAGCTTGCTTGAGCTATCACAACTTTTATGGCAACTTTATCAACAGATACACACACGGTGGCATCAGGTCACAGCGCCGTGTCTTCATACGTTTGCTAACTTGTTAGATAAATTCTGCTTTATGACCAGGGATGGATGCTAAGTCGTAATTTTGATATGTAATTCTCGTTCTTAAAATCATTTAAATATTATGTCCTTTAAATCTTAGGTAAGAAACCAAGAATAAATGATAACAAAGTCATACTTCGCATTCCCAGTGACTCCTTACATAGAATTTTTCAATGAAATGTTGTCATTAAAATAGAAAAGGCCTTTTGGCTGTGCCCATACAAGCATAATAAATTGTGTATGTTTGTGATACTGAATGACTCCTGCCCATATGCTACACCGCACAGCTACATGAATGAGGCATTTACCAAATCAGGCCCACCACATTAAACAGAAAAACAATCTTTATTCATGGTAACTTATCAGTTTCAATTAATCAACCTTCACAATGGAAATTCTGATGTGTTCCAGCAACTTGAAAGCAATAGGTCACCCCTAGGGCAGCCATGTTGTGTCTTTGTGCCTAAGTTTTTGAACAAAGCAACATCGCCAATAAATACACACACACACACACACATGCATGTGCATATATATATAGATATATGTCTATACACACACACACAAGTACACACACACAGACTGGACAGCTACAGCTACGCCCTGCAGGGATGGCAAAAGTGCGCGTTTCTTGCTTATGATTTTTTTTTGTCATAGCAAGTGTGATTGTTGCAAGTATGACTTTTTGAGCTCTGCGAGATTAAACAAAAGGAGAGAAATCTCCATTGGATGACCATTCTTTCAGGTTCTGTGCTGCCATGTGAATGGCATTGTGCAGACCATTCCAATGGTTTTGAAAAGGGGTAACCACTGGTTTGATTTGGTTACACGGTTTAGCAAAGAGCTCCCTCCCACTGCCTTAGGGTCTGTGAAAGGTCTGTGACCTGTTTAGAACTGCCGTCATGTCGCCCCTCCCAAGTGGGAGTATCTGCATTCATTTGATCAGTATAAAAAATGATAGGGGATGGGGAGATCAGTGCTTTTGAATTGCAATTTATAGCAGTTTACAAAAATGCACATTGTTGGAAAAGAAAACAGGGAAGTGTTTCTTTCTAAATTGCATTACCTGTGAAATGTCATTAGTCTTTTTAAGGATATTTACATCCTTTTTGAAAATTATTATTTTAGCAGAGTTACTTCGTCTAAAGACCATCAGCATTTTATTACATTATGGTTTTTTTTTTACTTGCTTTTTTTTTTTTTTTTTGGTAGTAGTAGACTGGAAGGAAAGCATGTCTGAGTTCTTAGGATGAGTGTACGCTGTCACCGTGTCTGTGTCTGAACTAAGCATCTTTGCGAGCGAGTCGCCCTGGAGTGGTAGCTCCTGAGTTACAGGGACATGCCTCTGTGGGGAGACGGCTGTGTGCTGATGGTTTGCTCGCAGAGAAACTGAAACGCCAGCCTCCCCCGGGCTTCCATCGCCCCTTCAGCATTCGACGGCCAACACGTCTTTGTAAAACGAGTGCTTTGTAAGCTCAGGTGCTCAGAGAGCCAGCCTCCTGTACGCAGAGTGCCAGAGAAGGACAGGCCGGTTCTGTGCGTCGAATGTGCGCAGTGCTATATAAGCGAGAGCTTTAGGTAACAGTTCAACGTCCAAACACTGACCGCAGCCACTGGGGTGTGGCTGCCGGTGCAGCAAACCCACACAGCACCCTCTTCGAGCCTCTGCAGGGCCTGTTTTCCCCCCGTCGGTCATTTTCTGTTGCGCATGGAGGGAGGGCAGGCACGGACCTTTGGGTCCTCCACCCAAGTTCAGGGTGAAGGCCTTGGACGCACACACAGGGCCCCCTCCTTCCTTCTCTGGCAGAGACTCCTGACTCTCAGCGCAAGGGCATTTCCTGGCCTTGGTCGCAGACAGCTGGAGACCAGCGCTGTGGAATGGGTCTGCAGGAAGTGGTCCCGAGGGGAGAGCGAGCCGAGCGGGAGCGCGCAGGCTGCGGGGCACACCCAGCCCGCCTCCCCAACTCTGCGGAGCCGGCAGTGGCTTACGGAGAGTGAGCAGAGTCAAGTTCACGCCTGTTCTTTCTTCACCTCCAGCGAGGCTGTCGGGAACCCTGAAGGAGCCACTGAAGAGGCTGTCGCAGTCCCAGAGGAGCCCCGTGAGAGAAGAGGACCGAGACTGACCCACGGGGACGCACCCCTGGGGCGCGCCAGGCTAGTCTCGCTGGCCATGGAGAGCTCTCCAGGGCGTCCGAGCCGGGCGCTTGGGCAGCGCCTCCCCCAGAAACCCCGCGCCCCTGCGGGGCGAGCCGGGGGCGCAGACGCCCTGGGCCGGCGCCTAGGGGAGGGCAGGAACGCACTTGAGTGAGAAAGCTCGAGGCATTAAATGTGTTTGACCCTTCCTCCGGCATCTCCCTAACGACCAAGTCAAACCGAGCTCGGCCCGCACGCTCCCTGGGGGAGGCGGGCTGGGGGAGGCGCGCGCGTGGGAGGGGGGGGTGTTTCACTTGTCCCCTGGGAAGTTCCACACCCGGAGCTCACAGGGGCGCGACGCCCCTGCCCGCATCTAAAAGGCCGCCACCGGCAAGAAGGGAGTCCGGGCCGGTCTGGAGCCCCAGCTCCACGTGGGGAGAACATTCTCGAAGGGCAGGTGCCAGTCCCGGAAGGGCCGGTTGGCTTTCCTGGCGTGCGTCACGTTCAGCCAGCGGCGCTCTCTGTTCCCCCCGACTACAAGCTAGGCGCCATCGGAAGCTGGAACAGAAGTGGAGACCCCTGAAGTTGCATTTCAGCTCTCAAGAAACGGGTCGGCGGCGGCTGTCGCACAAAGCTGATGGAGTAAAAAGGAAAAAAAAAAAAAAGCTAGACCAGGCGATTCGTGTGTGCGTAAAAGGGACAAGGTTGAATTGGAGAGAGACGAGTGAGGTTGAGCGCAAGCGCGCGGGGGTGGCACTGCGCCGGGGAGCTTGGTCTGCCTTGCGCTCTGTGCCACCGTCTCTCCAAAGAAGGGTTGCCCTAGAAACTTGTTCCCAACGCGCTGCTATATATCAACACCTTGTGCTGGCGGTCCTGGGCTGAATTACAGGGACACAGTTTGGCGCTTCTTTCAAATTTCCTCCCATCAGTTTGGCTAAAGAAAGGAATTTTTCTCCTTTAGAGATGAATCGGCTTAATTAGTAAGTAGATTGATGGCAATTGCTGGTGAGCTGGTTTCCAACAGAGTCTCCCCAGAGAGGGTTAATCGGAGTCAGGTCTGGAGCCTTTCCCACAACTGGCTCCCAGCCATTTCCACCAACCAATCAACCACGCAAGAAGCAGAGGAAATGAAATAAAATTTATATTCTCAGCGCCATGCTCCTGAAACCGAGATTCTTTGGAAGCAGCCTCCCCGTTGGGTGCCCTGCAGACGGCTTGGTTTCAGAATTTCAACAGAGATTTTAAACCTCAAGGTTTAGCTGGGTACCAACGCCGAATTCCAGCTGGCACAGTGAGTCTCTCCACGGGACACTGGGTGCACTGGAAACTTCTCCCAGTCCAGTTCTGGTTTAGAGAAGTTGGAGGCACCCCCGTAGCCCCGCCCTGAGTCTGTTATCCACCAAAAGTCTTTGAACAGTCTTGTATGTTTTGCAGCCTTTTCACTTATTTTTTTCCATAGTGATAAAAATCCATTCATAGTTTAACTTGCAGCTGCATTAGTCTTGCAAGAAAAAAAAAATCCCTGCTGAGAAATGCATATAATAGGAAAAACAGATCGGCTGGACAGCAGCGTAATTAATGCCAAAGAGGGCTGAGGCCGGTTTCATAGTTTGTCTTTTGAGGATATCGAGACGAGACCTGGTGAAAAATTACGCATGCTTTAGCATTTCAGAAAGCTGGCAACTGGCAACGCTTTTCCTTTTTCTTTGACTTTTCGCCGAAGAACAAAGAGGTCGGCAGAACTAGCTAGGTTGTAATGAGTTCTATGTCCTGAGCGCATTAAGTGCATCATGGAAACATATTGTATCGAAATAGTTTGGAGGAGAATACCGGGGATGAAAGAGAATGGGTGCTTTGATCAGCTCCCTGGGGTCCTGAGCGCGCGGGGCTGACTTGCAAGGAGTTATTCAGCTCCCGCTAGACACACTCACAACACCACTGAAAGAAATTTGCATATCTGTAATTTATCACATTGCTCCCGAACATTATTGCAAGGTAAATAAAAGTTAGTTGAATAATAAAAAAAAAAGATCAATCATCAGAAGAAACCGTGAAGCCAGCCTTTCCCTTAAAATCAGACAGAAGTAGGTTTATAAAACGTGACGGTTTAGAAGCTGACTTTATTTTAAAAAGTGTGCGGCAGGAGCGGCAGGTTACGCTCCGGCAGAAACAGAAGCAGCAAGCAGAGAAAACTCAGCACTGGCTCTGGGAAGACAGGAGAGATGGCTGTGTCTCCCCGGTCCCACCGCCGAGCCCCGAGCCCTGCTGGCCCCGCGCAGCTCAGGAGGACGGAGCGTCCGGGAGGGACCCGTCAGGAGCTTTAGAAAACTCCCTGAGAACAAGCGAAAACTTAACAGGCCCGCATTGTTCTGAGTTCTTAAACAACCCGGTTTAAACAGCAAACAAGAATCTTCACCTTGACCTTGGAACAGACTGTGCCGGCAGATAATCTATCACACAACTCTGGATGACAATGATATATTTCAAAGTATTGTCAGATGAAAAGATTGATAAATTTGCTGCCGCCAAGAGAGATCTTTGGAAACAGTCAACCGGCGACACTCAGCTCACCAAGCCGGCCTGCCTCCTCCTCCTCCTCCCTCTGTACTCACCGCCCTGTCCCCACCTCCTGCACCACCGCCCCCAGCCGGCCTTGGGGGCCAAGCGGGCGAGCCTGGGGCCAGTAAATCAGCACTGTAATATTTCTTACGGGGCACAGAAAAGCTGCGAGCGGTACCTCTCATATTAAGCGCAACATTTCTCCGCTTTGGCGGGGGAACAAAAGTCATAGCAAGACGTCTTTATGGCTAATTCAGTCAAAGGCACATCCCTGGTTCCCCGTGCGGAAGGGTCAGTGTCGCTGTGTTCCGTCCACCGAGGGGGTGTTTTCACACGGCAGACCCAGCCAGCTGTCCCTGTCATACCCTCGCCACTGGGGAGTGCGCACCAGCCATGGTTATTAGGCACATTCTACACCTGCAAAAAATACGGATCTCCGCGAGTTGTCAAGACACCCTCCCGTTCTCATGCCCCCTCCGCTTTCTGTCCCCCCAGCGTTGACAACACAATTCAAGCCCTGGATGAAAGCGCTGAGCTGAGGGACCACAGGCAGGGCTGGGGAGGGGGTGGCTCTGCCACCGTCCCCTGGCGCCTACTGGGCAGCCCTCAAAGAAATGAGGCATACAGCATGTTTTCAGACGCAGGGACGGACTTCCCATCACACGTCTGCTTGTGCGCCAGCGCTAACTGTGGAGCCCCAGTGCTGAACTGCACCGGTGTGTGTGCGTGGGGGGTGGGGGGTGGTGCAGGCAGGCATCCTTTATTTACAAGCGGCTCCTTCCTCAAACTTGACTGGTATTTAACACTTTGCCTATTGGTGACAACCGATTCATTTATTTCCAGTCCCCCAGGGAGAGTGAAGCCCACATTTTGTTTTTGATCTTTTTTTTCTTTTTATCCAAATACCAATGCTTGCCCAACTGGGCTTCGTAATAAAATCCCTTCTAGAAATATGCCCTGGCTAGGCAGAACCCAATTCCACAAGCTCGCACTGCAAAGACGGCTGGGTGACTCGCGGTTAGACACTCCGCGCTGTCACTCAGGGCAAAGGAGCCACAGTTGATCCTGCGCAGCCGCGGAAGAGAAACCGAGACACCAGAAATAGCTTCAGAAAAATCTGCTCAAGCGCCAGCTCCCTTAATACGGGGGCGCGAATATAAGCGGCTTTGTCCATGGGCTCTCACCCTGGGCTTGGGATGGAAGAGGTGGTGGGGGGAACCGAAGATTCCCACTTGGCTGGGGCTTGGGGGCAGTGGAGGCGGGGGCGGGGAGGGAGGCGAGGAGGGGGCCAGCGCGGTTTTGGTCAGCCGGTGGTCTACATCTTCGTCTAATCCCGCCACCCAAAGTGCGAAGAGAAATCCCCAGAGTGGGCAAGGTGGAGGGGTGCCCTGGAGACCGCGGAGCCCCGGGGCGCACGCAGGGGGCGAAACGCACCGCGTGTCCCAGGAGGCGAGGAGGGGGCCGCCCCCTCATTAGCACTGGACCCCGAACGCTTTCCCGGAGGCCGGGGGCCACGCCGCAGCCCGCCTCTACCAAGCCCGCGGCCGGCGCCTCTCCAAAGGGAAGCGAGCGCAACAGGTGGTTTGACGCAGGTGCCCACCCGCCGGGGAAGGGGTGAGCGTGGAGCTGCGGGGATCAGCCTGGGGCCAAGACTCCGCAAGAAGCAAGGGCAGGTCCCTGGGGGCCTCCCCGAGAGCGGGGACCGGCCGGAATCTCGCGTCCTCACCGCTGCCGCGGCCAGCGCGGGCGCTTTCGACCAGAGGCAAACAACAGCTCCCCACAAGCTGCGCCTCCGGCCACTGCACCCGCGACCGGCGGCCGCCCGAGGGCTCCACGCCGACCCCGGGGCGTCGTGGCCCGGGGACTCCTTCGGGGGAGCCGAGGGTCCCCCGGGCAGGCCGCCTCCGGGCCGTTCTCCTGCCTCCCTGCTCGCCGCTCCCCGGACCCTCTCCTGGAGACTTCCATGCGCAAAGATAGCAGGAGTGCGGAGAGCTGGGCGCGGGGCGGCCGCTTCCAACCCCGCGGGAGGACAGCAAGCCCCCGAGTCCGGGCTGCCCTGGGGAGCGGGGGCCGCGCGGGCCCCCGGGGCTGTCTGCTGGACTCCACCCCGGCTCTCCCGAGCCCGGGGAACGCCGAGCAGCAGGCGGGGCGCATGCGCGCCTCTGGCCAGGGTTCCCTCCCCGGCCCGCCGAGTTTGGACAAAGTTTGGCGAGGTTTGCCTCGGAGGCAGCGCCAGTCCCCGAGGCTGGGCCGCCCTGGGGCTGCGGCCAGGAGCCCTCCGGAGTCCCGGGAGTCAGCTCGGCAGGCGCCCAAGGGCTGAGAGGCGGCAGAAGGTGGGGGAGAGGGAGGCCTTTTGTGTGTGGCACCGGAGTCACTTGCGCACAAACGCGGCAGCGCGCTCCGCCGCCGCCTCGGCCTCCTCTTCTGCACCTCCGCCTCCCAGGCGCTCGGGGACAGCCCGGCCCCTCCCCCCCCCGCCTCCCTCCTCCGGGGCCCGGCCTTTGTTCGCCTTGAAAGTAATGCTGTGAATTAAAAGAAATGACAATATTTTCTATCTGCTTGCAAGTCCACGAGAAGAGCCCTTGAGCTTGGCAAAAATCAGGCCAATCATTCATCATGCCACCCCGCACCTGTGGTCTTGGCATTGAAAACTCTGCGGACCTATTCCTATTAAATGTAATTATTCCCCCAAAGCACACAATGGTTGAAATGGAGCAGGTTGGAGTCTGTTTATTGGTGGTAAATGTTTTTCTGAAGATCTTCTGAATCTCATTGTTAGCTCGTTGTTTGAGGCTGCCCTCTCTCTTTCAGACTAGAGCAGCCTTGGACTTTTCAATGTTCAATCGTAACATCTGCTTAATCGGACGGATCAAAATATGGAGACACAAAACATATGTAATGGTTGATTTGTTAAATCCTGGTAATGAGTTATTAACAAGGGAAAACAATAGGCCGGGATGGCGAGAGCCTTATGGTGACAGAGTCCCTGTGTGCAATGCTCACCGTCCCCCTTCTTGATAAATGGGACTAAGGTCTGAGCGCCAGGTGATAGCAAGAAAATCAATGTCTTTCGGGGCCAGCACGGAGACTTTTTTTTTCTATGTGAAAAATTAGGAGACATAAAATTTAATTGGCTGATCAGGAGGGGAGGGGGGGTGGAAAGAGTGGTGTGGAGTTTAATTGCCAGTAGGCTCTGCAAGGAAGACAAAACAAGATTTGGGCCTGTTTGTTTGGCTCACCCCAGCCTCAAGTCCAAGTGTATCATTGAGAATGTGTTTTATTATAACACATGTCATGCTTTACAGTCCCCATATTGTGTGAAGACAATGCTTAATGGTACATTAAAGACGGGCAGACCATGCCAACACGTCTTGGAGACAGTGTAAGGGCCTCTCTCTTTGCTTGTCATGGGCAGCTGCAGCCCAGGACCCAGAAGCACAAAAAAAGAACAAGTTTGAAATACCAGGTGCATCCGAGAGAGCCACGACAGGGATTGATATGTTATAGCCCAGGACATGAACCTAGCAATAAAGATATCATTGCGATTGTCTGCGGCTTCCATGGCCCCTCGAGCAGGAGGCCCGGAGCAGCCTGCTCCCTGGCGGCTCTGCCTCTCCTCCCCCTGGGCTTCCCCCGGCTCGTTGGGCCAAATCCCAACACCTGTTGGCCAGACCCCACAGCCCTCCCGTCGTGGGAATCGGCTCCTCCCGGTGGTTCCAGATCTCAAAAAACGCAACTGGTAGTGGAATTATTTAGGGCTCTTCCCACAGGCTGCAAAGGAGGCTTTGGGAAAGGCGGTGGGGAGGGGAGGGCCAGGGCGAGAGGGCTCTTCCCAGAGAGCTTCGCCAGGGAGTGCACTCAACTGGTGTTTGTTCAACCTCGCAGCTGGTACTCGGTGCCACCGCGGAAGCCCATTAATGGAAATGGGATGAGTTTATGGGTTTGAGAGGTTTCACACCCTCTCCACCCAGGGATGTTAATCCTGGTCCTGGCAGATGAGCAGTCCTGGGAACCCCCGGCAGCCGGTTTCACAGGCGTTCCCACCGGGCCCCTCTCTCGTGCGCCCTGCTCCCACCCAGCCTGCAGCAGCGGGAGAGCCTCACCCTCTCTCCCACCTGTCCTTTTCTGCCCCGAGGGACACAGGGGCTCCAGAACTCAACCTTCCACAGGAGGTTCAAGCCACCAGGGAGTGCCACATCCATCCGAGGCTTCCGCAAGGGGGCTCTGGCTGCCCAGCTCAGGGTGCGGACCACCACGCCCTCCCCCCCCCCCCCCCCGCATCCCTCCTCCTCCTCTTTCTCAGGTCAAAAGTCACCAGGTCCCACCTGCTGAAAAGCCAAGGGAAGAATAGTGCCTCCGCTCCCAGCATCTGAACACGGCCAACTTTCCTGTTATCTTTTAAGGCACTGGCAAGAGGACCCTGACCCTGATACCTGCCTCGAATGTAGGGGGCAGGGAGTGATGGGGACAAGGGGCTTTACCCCAGTCGAGCCACTGGCTGGAAGGCAGGGTGGCACAGCAACCTGGGATGCAGATAGGCAGGAGGGACTGGCGGGGTGGGGGTGGGCAGGAGGTGAGGTGTTGGGGGGACACTCCACTACAGTCTGCTCTCAGAAGCCCACCTGGCACCCTCTCCATGATATATATATATATATATAGAGAGAGAGAGAGAGAGAGAGAGAGAGAGAGCGAGCCACTGGCAATGGAGTGGGGGCTCTATTGGGAAACCTCCACTGGGAAAAGCTTTAGCTAGCTCCACCAAGGAGATCATGCCATGTACCCATTTGAGTCTGCTGCTTTTTTTTTTTTTTTAAGCTAAATGGACAAAAGGCGGCCAAGGCCAGACTTGAACCTCTTTCCCCCTGGAGGTCTCAGGCTGGTTTTCAGCACGGTGGCCCGCAGGCTGTTCCAAAGAACAGGGCTGGCCAGAGGCTGGCCACAGTCATCCAGAAGTTGGATTCACCCCCATTATTTTCACGTACGTGTTTTGGGGAGCGAGTTGGCAGAAGTGCCCACTTAACTGTTGAAAACCTGTCACTCAAACGCCCCTCCCATGCAGATCCTTTAAGCGCCAGGCGGTAGAGTCTGCACGGGCAGGGACGCCCCAGGCCACAGACTCCAGCCTGGCACCACCGAGGCACTTCTGCACCCAGCCCAGCCACGAGGCCAAAAACCGACTCTGAAACGATACATTTGTTCTGCTTTTACTGTTGCTTTTTTTTTTTTTTTGGAAAAAAAAGGATTGCTACACTAGGATGAATGGATTATGAGTAAATAAAAAGAAGCTGTCAGTCTCTTTGAAGGTTGTGCTTAAAGGGACTTGCCAAGTCAGGACAGAAGAGTGACAAGATAGGGACCCTGGTGTTTCGCCTGCTCAGTTCCAGTCTTCCGCTTCATCTGCACTGCACTAAAGGACGTGTAGAGGCATTGAATCACACGCACACTCACAAAGTGGCACACAAAATGAAAGGTGCCACACCACAATGATTGCGGTGCCTCTGCTGCCTGGGGCCACACTGCCCAATCCCACGAAAGCGTACGTCTACACGGCCAAAAATAATTAATAATAATTAGTAATTAATAAAGTCCCCAGGGCGCGTCCTTCCATAACTTGGGATCAAGTTGAAGTGTGTGTAGCATTTGACTTTCTAATGAGTGTAATGAGATTACATGCCTGATGGGAACGTTTGTGCCAAAGCCACTTTCCTGCTTAACGAGGCCCTAATACAGGGCACAATCGAATTATTTACTCTCACCCTTCGAATTGTTTCCAGAGCGGATTCATCCTGCAACGGGAGGGACAGGGGAGAGGGCGCCAGGGCGGACGGGGGCGACGGTGGTCCCTGGCCCAGGGCCCCCCGGGGGCCCCCGCGACCCGGAATCCCCGCGCCGCCGGGTCGGGCCCGCCGCTTCGCTTTAATTGCTTTTGGACGACGTCCATGGCCCCCGCGGCGCGGGGAACCCCTCGGTGGGTGTGCCACGAGGTTAAATCAATTAGCATGCCGCAAGCATATTGTTCTTCCGCGAGGCCGTGGGCGCTGAAGGCGACGCGCCCCGTACCTTGGCCCACCAGCGCCGCGCCTGGCCGCGGAGCCACGCCTCGCTCGCCTTGGCGCGGCGCAGGGGGCGGCGGTTCCACGCGAAGCGGGAGCGGGTGGCGCAGCGCGCCTGGGCCCCACAGGCCCCGGCCATGCGCGCACCCCCGGCGCTGGCCCACGGGCGAGGAGGCTGCACCGCGGGCCTGGGAGGCGCCTGGAGACCGCCGTCCACACAGGACCGAGGGAGCCCGGCCCCGGGGCGCGCTGCAGCCGCGCGGCTCTGGCTGCGCCCTTGCCCGTGTACCCTCCGCCCCGGCCTCCCCAGGTCCCGTCGGAGGCGACAGGGACCCGGGCTCAGAGTGGGCCGCTGAGCTGTTCCCTGCCTGCCTGCCCCAAAGATGCTGGATTTAGTCCTAAACTGTCACCAGTCCCTCGTCCTCAGAACAGCCGCGTTCCAGGCACCCACTGCGCTCACCGCGGAAGACACGCTCGGGGGTGGCCAGGCGAGCGCGAGGCCCCTCCCTGCCCCATACCCGCACCTGACTCCGCGCGCGCGTCCACCTGGAAACCCTGCGAGGGGGCAGCGTGGGCCGCCGCGCCTTCGTTTCCGGCTCTGACAAACAACTCCCCACCCGGGCCCTGTTGGCCTCCGTGGGCGTTTCTGCAAAGCAGGCTGGAAATACAGGCCCGGGTCGTTACTGCGGGGGCGGGCTCAGGGGGCTTCCGGCCCACCTCCTCCCAGGCGGAGTCTACCTGGAACCTGGTTTCTTACAGTTTAGGGCGCGAGCCTCCGCCGCACCTCCTGTTTGCAAAGCTACTTCTTTCAGCGACCCCCACATCAGTATTGAACCAATCACTTTAGGGAGAAAAAAACCACATCTGTAAATACCGTTTATTAACAATGCTTTAATAGACCACATCTGGCAATAAATAAGCGGGAAGTATTCCGGCTAGGGTTCTCCCAAGCAACACAGAGTCTGGTGCCCAAGGTGCTGGGGTGGGGGTGGGGGTGGGGGGACGAGGGGATCACAAGCTATAGCATATTTTTAGAAAAAAAAATCAAGATAAATTATATAACTTATATATATTTAAAAGAGATCGTCTATGGCGTTAACTCAGCGGAATAAATAGATAAATTAACAAGAGGCGGATTGCCTTTGGAGACATGTGCGGGATAGACACTCCGACGTGGACCACACGCACAGGGACCCAGCCCCCGCCGCGCCCGGGCCTGCTCAGGACGCCACCTGCAAAGGCGGCTGGCTTTCCACGCCGCTGAGCTTTCTGGGGTCCTCGGGCGTCCACACTTTGGCTGTCCGGATGATGTTTTGTTCGCTGAGCTGTTTCTCATCGGTCCACGAGAGTGAGTGTCCGGCGAGCGGCGGGAGGCCGTAATCCGGATCGCCGGGGGAGGGGGGACCTGGGGACGGGACAAAGGAACACAGACCGTCCAAGTCCAGCCCGGGCCCCCGAGGGTCCCGGCCGTGGGCGCTTCTCCCCAGCAGGCCTTGGAGCGCCCTCTCCCCGGAATCCCAGGAGCTGCAAGCCTGGGGTCGCCGCGCTCACAGCGCTGAGGACGGCCGAGACCCGGAGCGGGCTCTCCAGGAGGCGGTGTCCAGCGACCGGGCGGCCGGCCAGGCCTCCCCCAGGCCCCTGCGCGGAGCCTGCACCAGCCCAAGCCCGTCCCCAACCCGTCCCCGACTCCCTGAGCCGGAACGCGGCCGCACTTACGCGTGCCCCGATGGCAAATGATGACCTTGTGGGCCTGGCTGCCCGGGCTGTCCGAGCCCAGCCGCCCGCCGCCCGGCCCGCCGCCTCCCGCGCCGCTGCCCGCACCGCCGCCGCCGCCGCGCAGTGGCAGGTCGGCCTGCACCAGCTCGCTGAGGAAGTTGATGTAGCCGATGGCCAGGCGCAGCGTGTCCACCTTGGAGAGGCGCTTCTCGTAGGGCAGCGTGGGGATGTGGGAGCGCAGCCCCTCGAAGGCGTCGTTGATGGACTGCATGCGCCGCCGCTCGCGCACGTTGGCCGCCTGCCGCAGCTGCTGCAGCTCCGCCTCGGAGCGCACCCGCCGCCGCCGCCGCGCCGCCGCGCCGCCCAGGCCACGCAGCCGCGCCCCGGGGGACAGCGCTGCGGCCGCGGCGCACGGGTAGGCCAGGCACGCGGGCGGCGAGCCGGGCGAGTAGGGGAAGGCGCCGGGGCCCACGGCCGCCCCGCAGCAGTAGCCGGGGCCGCCGAGGTCTTCGGGCTCCCCGGGAGCCCCCGACGGCGGCGGCGGCGCGAGCGCGCGGGGGCCGGCCGCGGGCGCGGGCGGCGGCGGCAGCAGCAGGCACGCCCCGTCGCGGTAGCAGCACTCGTGCAGCTGGTGGCTGAGGAAGTCCACCTCGGCGTGCTCCTCCGCCAGCAGCTCCTCGCCGTCCTCCAGGGGGTCCCGGGAGGACTGGTCGGTGAGGAAGTCCTCGTCGTCCAGGTACGCTGCCGGGAAGGCGTCCAGGCCCCCGGGGAAGGGCTCCAGCAGCACCGCGTCCATTCTGGCGGCCGCCGCGCGCCCCCGGGGATCCTCAGTGCGCGTGCGGTTGAGGTCTCGCCGGCCTGCAGTCCCCGCTTCGCCCGGGCCGCGCCGGGGGCAGCCCCCCTACCCCCGGCCTCCCTCTCGTGCCCGCTGCGCTCGGCTGGCGCCCGCGCTGCGCGCTGCGGAGGGCCGCGGCCGACGTGCGGGAGCTGAGGGCTGGCACGCGAGGGCTCTTATAGCTACAGCCCCAGGCGCGTGCCGGGGACCCGCGGCGCCAGCCAATCAGAGCGCGGGGTGCCGGCGGGGAGGGGGACCTTCCCCTGTGCTCGCCAGCTCCCGGGGCGGGGCCGGTTGGCTGCCTCCTGGGCGGCTCCTCTGGCGGCTGCTCGGTACCTGCCGGGCGCGCGGCTCCAGGTGCACCTGCTGCCTGCCCGAGTGCGCGGGGCGCGGCGCCCGGCCCTTCGGCGCTGGTGCTAGGGCTGCCGCGCGCAGCGTCTCTGCGCAGTCGGAAAAGGCCTGAGGGGTGCGGGAGTGAGGTCTCCGGGGCGCTCGCTCCGCCCAGCCTCTGCAGTTGGCGCGGGAAACCGCCGGCGGCCTGGGGCAGTCGGAGGAAGGCTGCGGTCCAGGGCCCGGGCGCGCGCGGGGCCTTTGGGGCCACTGTGCCATCACAGGACCTTCCAAGGTATCTTGTGCAGTGGGAGGAGGATGTGCCGGCGGGGTTGGAGGGCGCCCTGGGCCCAGCTCCTGAGGTTTCCAGGGGAAGCTTCGGTCTAGGAGCACTCCAGAGGGACCCCTCTCGGGAACCTGAGACCGGCGCCTGCCTCAGGCGGGAAAAAGCCATGTGCAGACGGGAGGGGCTGCCCGGAGGGGCGCCAATCCAGACCCCAGGGGTTCTGAGCGATAAACTGGGTACCGGAGTCCACTGAGCGGTCTGCCCCGGAGCGGAGCGGGGCTAGGGCGGTGAAGTCGGAGCTCGGAAAGCCAGCGATTTTTGGAGTCAGGAGCCAGCCCTGAACCAAGCGTTTCCATCTGACCCTTTCTCTGCGCTAGCGCAGAACAAGCGCTCTGCCCCCGAGACGCACCTGCTCACAGAGTGCGGTGCGAACTCCCCGGGTTAAGGGCCGCGGCACGTCCAAGGTCAGGAGGTCCCTGCTCAAAGCTAGCTCTGGCCTGCTTCCCGAGAGGGTTCAGGGGCGCAGCCGGGCTGTCCTCTCCGCACGGGGACGGGGACGGGCAACTCTGCTCCTGACACCTGTTCTGGCAGAGACCTCCACTGGGGGGTTCAGACTCGGCTCACAACCCAAGTGCATGCCTCCTAGGAACAGTGGTTTAAACACAGCTCCTGGAGACGTTTGGCGCAGCGGTTAGGTCTCCCTTAAGGGGATGCCTGGTTCATGTGCCGCACTCCCCTTCCTGGGTTGCAGCAGCTGGTGGCTCCGGTGCCTGGGTGCCTGGGTCCCTGCCACCCACGTGCGAGCCTCAGGTGCAACCCTGGGCTCTTAGATTTGGCCTGGTCCAGACCTGACTGCTGCACGCTCGCTCTCACTCCTCCCTTTCTCCCTCTCAAATAAAATGAAAATTAAAATAAATGCATACATCTTGGTTGTAGGCATTCTGCTACATTTAACTGAGTTCTGAGTAAAGATTTAAGGCCAAAAGCTTTGTAAAATCAGAAGAACAGAGACTGCTCTACTCTGAACGCCTAAGGATTGATTTGTTTTACTTGAAAGAGTTACAGAGAGAGAGAGAGAGAGAGAGAGAGAGAGCTTCCATCCACTGGTTCACCCATAAGTTGGCTGCAATGGCCAGAGCTGCGCCCATCCGAAGCCAGGAGTCTGGAGCTTCCTCCAGGTCTCCCATGTGGGTGCAGGGGCGCAAGGACTTGGGCCATCTTCCACTGCTTTCCCAGGCCATAGCAGAGAGCTGGATTGGAAGTGGGGCAGCTGGGTCTCGAACCTGCGCTCATACGGGATGCCGGCACCACAGGCGACGGCTTTACCCACTGTGCCACCGCGCTCGCCCCATCCTGGACAGTTTTAACCCAACAGCGGTGGACAGTTTCCAGCAGGTTCTTTCCTGGGTTTCTCGGTCAGTGCCCCCTTCCTAATGAGCTGATCAAACCTAAACTGAGTTAAACAGGAGCCAGAGCTGTGGCTTTCTGAACTGAATATGGAGTCTCTTTCTGACCCAAAAGAGAGGGGAGCTGTGGAGCTGTCTGGGGGCGGAGAGGAGGGCAAGGGTCAAGAGCAGCGATCTGGCCAGCCATGTGTGTACTAACTTCCCCCTGCTTGGTGAGACTAAAGCAAGTGGAAACCAGTCCTTGGATGGATATGGGGACATGTAACAAACAACCGGACTTCAAAGCCTTATCCAAGATACTGATAACTGTTCCGTGAAGAGAGGACCGGATCTGAGCCTACACGGGCTCCCTCCAAGGCTGGCAGCCGCTCACGAATTTTCTGAAGAGCAACAGAAATTTACTTTGGGCACCAGGTGAGTTGATGGGGCGTCCACTGCTGGTGGGAATCCTGATTGTCTTAGGATTGTGGGCAGAGCTCACTAAGAAGTTCTCGGCGTTTCTGGAGCTGCCTGGATGGGCTCAGGGTAGCAGGGAGAGAGAAGGCACCGGCTTGTTCCAGACATGACCTTTGTTGTCCCCTTGCTCCTCCTCCTCCTCCCCACCCCTCCTCCCCATTTTGAGAGACTTTGGACTGGTCTTGGGAAGCTTGGGCAAGGCCTGCGGACGCCGACACCGTTGGTTGGCGTGCACACACACGCACGTGCACACACACACACCGTCCTTAAGTAAGACATGATCGTTTCTTAACAGAAAGAAGAAAGACTTCTTGGCTCATAAAGGCGATTGTGTCTGGGTCACTGGAGGTCACAGCCGGCCGGACGGCTGCTCTCTGCCACTTGCAGCAGCAGGTTGGATGAGGGGCAGGCTGGAAGTGAGCCTTGACCTCTCAGGCTAGAGGCCCCGACCCGGTCCAGCTCTCCCACCCCCATCCTTTGGGCAGCGGGGGATGGTGGCAAGCTTGAGAACCGCCTCCCAGGGAAGGCCAGCAGCTGCGTCCTCCAAGCACAGACCTCTCTGCCCCACCACCTTCTTCTTCATAGATGGGTGATCTTTACTTGTTTCCACTGTATTTGAAAGATGAGAGAGAGAGAGAGAGAGAGAGAGAGAGATTGATTTTAATCCAGTGGTTAACTCCCTAGATGCCTGACATCCTGGGCTGGGCCAGGCCAAAGTGCGGAGGCAGGAGCTCCATCCAGGTTTCCCGTCTGGGTGGCAGGGACCAAGTACTCGAGCCATCACCTGCTGCCTCCCAGGGTGTGCACTGGTGGGAAGCTGGAGTCAGGAGCAGAGCCAGGAGGGCAGCCCAGGCACTCTGCGGTGGGGTATGGGATCCCCAAGCAGGGTCTTTATTGTGTACCAGATGGCCCTGCCCCAACCCTCCCAAGACCCCCTGGCTCATAATAAAATGAGATTTCGACTCCCATGGTGACCAGCATACGGGATACTGGGCTCTTCCCAGTGCCAAATCCTGGTGAAGCCCCAAGACTTCTTCAGGTCTGTCCACAGGGCCCCAGGGCCTCCCTGCTGTCCAGGACTTGCCCCTGCCCCGACCCTCTCTCCCCTCCTAGGGTCTGAGGGACCAGAACATGTGCTAGTTTTGCCTCTGAAGTCTTATCCCAGTGTCAAAGGGCAGTGATGGGAGGGTTTGGGCCCAGCTCCTTGGCTCGTCCCAGGAATGGGCCCCCAGGCCTGCAGCTGCCTTGTAGCACATTCTAACGGGGTCTCTCTTGCTGGACTCTGAACTCCGCAGCACGCAGCTGCCCCTCAGCATCCCCCGTGCCACCTCAGTGCCTGCAGGAGCCCTTCCCTAGCTTGAAGATGGGGCCACATTAAGCCTTCTCGGCCACCTCCTTTCAGGAACACAGAGGAGTCGGCAGGTGGGTGCTCGGTCCTCGCCTGGGTCTCTTGGCCGTTCTTTGACGCTTTCCCCAGCACTGGTCTGAGAAATCTTCCTTCTCCCCACTTGAGTGCTGTGTCTTGGTCCCTATGCCCTTAGGAAAGGATTTGAGAAGTAGAAGCATAAGGCTCATGCTGAGAGGCCTTGGAGGCCCAGAGAAGTTGAGTGACTTCCCTGAGGTCACACAATAGGTTCCTATCAGTCCCAGTCCTTCACAGCCCAGTGCTGGCTCCACTGGCTGCTGAGAGCAGGGTCTGGCCCTAACCCCCTCACTCACAACAGGTGCATCTATACAGAGGTACATCGTCGGCAGTCCAGACCTGCCACCGGCCCAGGTTACCAAAGGACCATCTTCTTACCACCACTCCCAGCTGCCCGCTGCCCTGGCCTTGCTCTGCAGCTCATGGAGCCATCTGAGGTCAGAAACTCAAACAGTGGAGGAAGGAATTGCTCAATGGCGCCATTCCCAGCATGAGACCAAGTATGGGAAATTAAATATGGATGGTGCGGCTTGCTCTGGCCTCAGAAGCCGCTCTATGGACTATGGATGATTTCCACGGTTTCCCGAAGCTGCCCACTCTGGTCATGTGACACCTGATGCCCTCCTGGAGGGGAGTGGCCCAGGGTTTCTTAGTTCCTTCCACAACTTACGAGGCTGCCCTTGGAGTAGCCTCCCAGCGACCTGCCTCTCCCTTCTCACCAGCCTTGATTGTTGTCTGGGTCGTTTCATACATAATTAGCTTCCTTCAAGTTTCCAGATGGCATCGTGACAGCGGCTGGCTTTTGTTTCACTTCCACTCTCCTTTCCACTGGTCCCGGAGCTGCTTGATCTGGTGTAAAGATCTGATATAAGGGCATTTCAGAAAGTTTGGAAGAAATGGATTTAAATGATGTGTTAAAATTTTCAGAACCCACACACTGTTAGAGTACGCATTTCCTGTGAACTTTTTTTTTTTTTTGACAGGCAGAGTGGACAGTGAGAGAGAGAGACAGAGAGAAAGGTCTTCCTTTGCCGTTGGTTCACCCTCCAATGGCCACTGCGCTGATCCGATGGCAGGAGCCAGGTGCTTCTCCTGGTCTCCCATGGGGTGCAGGGCCCAAGCACTTGGGCCATCCTCCACTGCACTCCCTGGGCCACAGCAGACAGCTGGCCTGGAAGAGGAGCAACCGGGACAGAATCCGGCGCCCCGACCGGGACTAGAACCCGGT